GCGGGGCCAATTTTGACCCCAGGGCTTTTATTTGAACAAACTTGGTAGACATCCATTAGAACATGTTTCATGCTAAATATCTTAAAACTAGCTCTTTGGGTTCTTCAAAAGAAGATTTTTAAGTTTTTACTCTATGTATATGGGGAAAATCAATGACCCCTGGGGCGGGGCCAATTTTGACCCCAGGACTTTTATTTGAACAAACTTGGTAGACACCCATTAGAACATGTTTCATGCTAAATATCTTAGCTCTAGCTATTTGGGTTATGAAAAAGAAGATTTTTTAAGTTTTTATTATACATGTTATATGCATATAGGGAAAATCAATGACCCCTGGGGCGGGGCCAATTTTGACCCCAGGGCGTTTATTTGAACAAACTTGGTAGACAACCATTAGAACATGTTTCATGCTAAATATCTTAGCTCTAGCTCTTTGGGTTCTTTAAAAGAAGATTTTTAAGTTTTTACTCTATGTATATGGGGAAAATCAATGACCCCTGGAGCGGGGCCAATTTTGACCCCAGGGCTTTTATTTGAACAAACTATGTAGACACTCACTAGAAGATGTTTCATGCCAAATATCTAACATGTAGCCTTCACAAATTCAGAGAAGTAGATTTTTTTTAGATTTTACAATATACATATTAGGAAAAACCTATGACCCCCCAGGGCGGGGCCGATTTTAATTCTAGGAACAAAATTTGAACAACTTTGGTTTTGGACCTATAGATGATACCATAGACCAAATATCAAAGCTCTAGGGCATTTATATTTTTCAAGTTTTTTACTATATGTATGTAATGAAAATCAATGACCCCCCGGGCGGAGCCAATTTTGACCCTAAGGCCATTATTTGAACAATCTTGATAGAGGTTTACTACACAATGTTTCATGCCAAATATATAATCTGAAGCCTTTGCCAAATCATAGAAGAATATTTTTTTAGATTTTACTATATACATATAAGGGAAAACCTATGACCCCCGGGGCGGGGCCAATTTTGACACTAGGGACAAAATTTGAACAACTTTGGTAGAGGACCCATAGATGATACCATATACCAAAAATCAAAGCTCTGGCCCATGTTCTTTCAGACAAGAAGATTTTTTAATTTTGTGTTTTTTGAAATCCTTTTCTGGCCCTATGACCTACATATGCAACAGACCGGAACCATTTGAACAACTTTGAAAGGGGACCACCCAAGAATCATTTCTGTAAAGTTTGGTTGATGTGCAGTCATTGGTTTCAGAGGAGATGTTGTTTATGTTCAAAAGTTGACGACGCACGACGACGGACGACGGACACAGGGCCATCAAAATAGCCCACCCTGAGCATTGCTCAGGTGAGCTAAAAATGAAATAAAGAATCAGTAACTTTTATTTAACCTTTGTTTTCATGTGTAAAAAAATAATTACAGATTTTAATAATATAATATTTGATTTATATCCAGATAAATGGTTACAGAAGATCAAGTACAAAGTCACTTAACGCAGCAAAGAGTTAAAATTATCATGGGTAATCTTAATTGTGAGTTCAAGTGGTCATACCTGATAAAATACCTTTGATTGCTTTCTAACAACTAAAATGTCATTATGTTTAAAGGAGGCTTATCTCTACGGAACAAACAATCCTATGTTTACCAAGAGAGTGAGTTGATTCAAGTGGTGTACTGATTCTTGATAATAGAAAAATGTTCTTATAATAAAAACATATACGAGATATGGGATCCGTTCGTTACGTAAAATCCACAAACGAATTTTGAATAAAAATATCATATTTATCATCTTATTTCATCATTTTTAAAGAGTATTTTCTGTCCTGACAGGTGCATAATTACAAGAATAATTTAATTTCATGACACAAAAAGCCTTTCGCGCAAACTAATGTTTTTTTTTTATATTTTCACATTAGATGTTCGAATTAATTTCTATAGAAATAAAAAAGCTAAAGCAATTACAAATTATATCTTTAAGGACAATTTTAGTTTTATGCGGGAATAAATCTAGAATAGGGAGATTTAGAGTCATGAACCACATCAGATATAAGTTGGATCATAATTAGAAATATACACTTAAAGTAAATATCCCATGAAGAGAAGACGTTACGGTAAAAAAAACAATACACTGCAAAGTAACTTCAATCGGAAGTTTGTTGGCAAACACCGACGCTTTGGTGTGTACGAAAGCTCTTCATATACAAATACTTCGTATATTTGAGATAAAATGAATGCATTATAGTTATGCAATACAGTTTCCAGTTACAATGACTGCTATTATATCATATATTTCAAATACAGTCAGTGACATACATTTATTCACACTGGGCATTTCGGATGAGATTTATTTTTACTTCTTCCAATGGTTTACTTATTAATTAATGGTTGTTGATTGTTTATGATCGAAGACATTTAAACATATCAGCAATAAATATTGCTATTCTATCATAGAAAAGAGAATATCGCAGCACTCTAAACGTTACCATCTTAAAATGCTTTATATTGAAAACCTGCCATTTATAATTACTATGTTGTTTCGAACCCATTAGCAATATTCATTTTGATAACGTGTTTCCATTAACATTGACAGTCGATTCCATGTGTGAAGTATAATTATGTATTATTTACAACTGTCACATGGGAATAGACTATGTGATGCACAGATTATGATTTCAGATGAGAGTAAGCAATCATTTTTATTAAATACCAAACCTATTTAGAAGCAGATACAATGTGTTCTTTATTAGATACATTATGATAAGTAAGATATGATTCTCATTTCAATGGGCGAGGAATATAGAATAGAGAACAGACATGTCAACATCATTGGCAATGAAATAATGATAAAAAAAGTTCATGAACCCATTACTAAGTGTCAACATAAACGCAGCAAAGAGGTACTCTGTACTTAGTCTATTATATCAAATCGTGCTGTGTTTTAACCCTCTCCTAAGTTTGTTCGCTGCCAGGCTGGGTTCTGTGTCGATGATTTGGTGTTGCCGGGGTTTGTTGAGCTGCGTTTATTGTTGATGATCTTTGTTCTCATATTTTACCAGGTAATGTTAAATGTTTAATTCTGCTGAAGCCGGTGCTAGAGGACAATGCAGGTTACTTGCACTTTCCGGTGCCGTCCATGAACAGACCTCAATCAAACCAAGCCTGCAGCATTTTCAATTTTTCCGTGTTTGGCTTTCTTAGGGGATCCTGTTTTTCTCTACTCTATTCTTAAGTTTTTTTTCTGATGTTTACGGTATAAGTATGATTTGATCGCTTTTATTTTTGCTAGATCTACATCATGTGATGTCAGATGGAATCAACAGAGTTCATAATAGTGTTTTATAATTACACCGGTAGTTATCTATAAATCTTAGAGTTAATTAAAGATGCGTTTGCCTAATTCCCTAACGAATATATGAAAACGAATATATGAAAATAACCGTGATGATATATAGAAGAAATCTTTGTTTGCTGTTATAGAAAGACATCGACAAGAATTACTACTGAAGTGAAATTCTTGTTTATCTTTTCTTTTATGTTTGAACTTACTAATGGTTTCATAATTACACCGCTTTTTAAATCACAAGCAATTCCATTATCTTAACCCTCTTGATAATAAAGTACTTTCAGGCGTAGCGGGTTGTAAAAGATGCTTTGCTATAGTGCTTAAGTATTCAAGTCTACACTTACATAGAAAAAAAAATTATTTATAAATATAGTATTTTATTCTTACCACTTGAGACTCTCCAATTACACCAAATAACATTTTTGAGATTAAATAAATTTACAACACAGTGAATGATGTATCTAAAATGAAATTGCCTTGCTATTTATTATCTGTAATGAACACAATGGCATGAACACAAAACAGGTTAAGGGTGCTCATTTTCGTTTTAATAAGTGCATGGTGAATTGTTTAAATACCCAATCCCTGACCCATTGTTAACCTTGTCGGATTATTCAAGTGTAACAATTATACAATCCTGTTCCAGTTATACTACTGTCTAAAATCTGCAAAAATCCTATTTGGAGAGGGCGGTTAGGATGGATATAAATGAATCAGATATAGAATTACTGTCTGAATGAAAGTGTTGTGTTGCTTTAAAAAAAATGTATTTCTCAAATTGGTGCTATGCATCTAAACCTTATCATCTGTGGAGGCCTTAAGCTAACATTTAACTACTTTAGCATAATTCAGCACCGAATTACTCTTTATTTTATTTTTGTTATCGACATTCTTTCACAGGTGATACATAGGAGTGTAATAGGTTGAATTTATCATTATTGCTTGTATGTTGATAAACAAGCTTATTAATACCGTTGCTTTGACTTAAGGATATTGCTTTGTTTGCATTACTCTCGAGAGGTAACTAATTTAAGAAGGCTGGTAATATATATCTGTAGCATGGTAAAATTGCACATAATAAAACCTAGAATGTATTGCACAAAAAATATATATAATGTATACTTAATCATGATAATGATGATGATAACAATTATAACCACATGATGATGGTACTGATGATGATATAAATGCTTACAATGATAACAATGATGATGATTACGGTGATAATCACGTTGTTGATGATGATGATTAAAACATCGTTGCTCATGATGATGACTATGATGATAATGTTAACGATGGTAACGCTGATAATGATAATGCTGATAATAACGATGATAATGTTTACAGTGATGATGATGATAATGATGATGATGATGGTAATGATGATGATGATGGTTGCGATTACAACAATGATATTAATGATGGCGATGACCGATGATGATGATTATCAAAATATCAAAATCAAAGTACAATTGTAGGTACATGGCAACAATATTTCAGTGATGCAAGAACCTACGTAATTCTAAGTGTTTTAAATGGAAGCACCACGTGATAGTAAGTACTAAGTAACATTTTAAAGATACAGGTAAACGTTTTATCATCAAGGCAGGGTCAATTAAAGCGAACTATATATAAACAATTAAAATGACACAAATAACTCACCATGATATTTCCTATATTCCCGGCAGTCACTGCTAGACTTGTAAATATCAGAAACACCCAGGACATTGTCGGGTGACGTGTCATAAAGTTATAATCCAGACTTGACTCATTTATATTGTCTGTCCATCCGTCCGAACGTTCTAACATATCTTGGAACATAGGATGCAAGTTTTCAACCTCAGAAGACATTGTGTTAAAATATTCAGTTAGTCTTTAAAGAGTATCTATACTTCGTACTCAATTGTACTTTGCACATTTAATTGGAAATCTTACCTCATTATATACATTAGAAGAGGCAGTAAATACAAAAGTCTCAGTTAAGCTGTATTGTAGACAAATTTGAGGTTATATTTACGCCCTAATACGTGTATATTTTCAAAATTTGAACTTTAAAATAAATTTTTTAATGTTTTTACTCCATTAATATTTTGATTTTCAAGACTGTTCTGTACAAAATAAAGCATTTTTTTTTAGAAGTTATGTCCTTTTGGAAACAAACACATTTTCATCACTGTTATAAAATATATTGATTTCCCGGACTGCTAAAATGGCATAAATAGAAAATTTAAACATCCTTGTTTTCTATACCGTGCCACAAATCGTATTAATGTTTTATTCCGTTTATTCAAAAATGTAGCTTAATATCATTATCATGGATAAGTTTCTTAAGTAACACAGCAAGCAAATGTCCTACTAATTTTCACTAATATAATAATTAAATTCTTTCGTGCATCCTTACGCTCATCAATGTTTTCAGGTTGAGTTTCCTTCCCTGCCTGATATGAAGTATGCATACGTGTGCTTACACCTCTACCAATGCCTTTGATGCTCCGTTATCAGGGAAAAAATATCAATATATTTTGTAAGGCGAATCAATTTATTGCGCTAAACACAATAAATAAGGTACAACCAATGTTTGCTGTGTGGGCAGATACAATATACAATGCAACTTAATTTTGAGTGTTTGCAATAAAAGACCTTATCAGATAATCCCTACAGTTGTGTTATATTACATGATAAAATTTAAAATCGCATGCTTCCTCTTGAAAAGCAAATATATTTGTAAAAATCAAACGGGAGAAAAATGAATTACTGAATTTATTAATTTATCATTAAATGTGTACCTTTATCAGATATCGTGTTGTTCTTTGTTTTTTATCCGGATGTACGCAGTCTTTAGTATTAATATATTATTGAGAAGCAAAACATATAGATTTACAACAATATCGTATCAAATCTCGTATAACCGATCAAATTTCTATCTATTTTAACAACGCAATTGTTTTGTAGCCTATGTTTTTGAACTCTGATTAGGGAATATCAAATTGAATTATTTTAAGTAATTTATTTTGTTTTTTATGGTTCATGACAGAAAAGAATATTCGCACGTGCACATATAACGTATGTTGATAATTCAGTCCGGTAGCAATCATGTTCACAATCGGGGCTGTTTGCATGAGTAAAATCATATTAAAGCATAGATTGATCTCGACTGTGATGAACGCTCAAGTCCTCGGACAAATCAGTATAAATTTTCTTATAAGAATATATGACCTAACCGCAATAGGTATTGTTCTAAGCAAGCAAATATCCTAACAATTTACGTGTTTATGCTCTGGTTTATATAGATAAACCTTATAATGTTTTCCAGTTATTTTCCACGTTAAGTCTAATGTATGCACAGATGTGCAAATAATGACCCCGAGATCACCCATACAGCTTTCATATATTAATGGCATAGTATATAGATTATTTACATTAGTTTTCACTGTTTCCTCTTCTGTAAGGATATATTTTGAAATATTTTCTTAAAAGATGACTGGTTTTGTCCAACTGAAAAATTTGGCAAGTCCTGTTAAGATAATGTGCGTGGTATTGGCTAAAATACTTTGAGTTTTGATGCGTTAAATTGACACTGTATTCTTAAACGATCTAGAGAAAAGGTGATCCCTCGGAAGCATTGATCACAACAAAATAACATGAAAATTGCAGACACGGTTTGATTGAGTCTGTACATTAGGGATATTGAAAAAGTGTAACATCCATCACGCCCCGTAGCACCGGCTTAAGCGATATACAGTTTTCAACACCTAAAAGTAACGTGCTGAAATCAATAACCCGAAGAACCAGAAAAATATAATAACACTGAAGTGAAGCACGGGACAACATTTTACATCTGCCTCTTGGAACTTGAAACCTGCTTTATTGATGAATAAAGATCTGGAGAAAAGTTATGTCAGATTCACAAAGTTCATGAAGTTGTATGTACACGTTTCAGAGATATAAATATTGTAACGACAATCTTTATAGCACACTAGATGCGATGAAAGGATAATAGCTGAAGAAACAGCGTATGAAGTTGTACAAACAATAGCATGTTTGGACATAATAAAGACGGGAAAACACGTCAACACAGCCCTCTTTAGTAAATCACTCGACAGACGTGATTCAGGATCATTAGAAGTAATCTAAATTGCAATCAATCGTTCCATACTCCATTTCTCCATAAAACGAGGGTGTTTATCTTACATTTAATTGTCAATAAGGGCTGTTAAAACAACCGATTGTTATTCATTTCCTATTCAAGTTCTCTGTATTAATTTAAGTACATTGCACAGGTTAATTTAAAAAGATTTGTAAACAATCGCATTATTGAATGGGGTACGGATATACATGCCAGCATGTAAGAGGATATCTATACATCTAATAATAGTTATAGTTGTTGCTTAATAGCTTGTATTTAAAATTACAAAACGAAAATTGAAAGGACGATAGTTAATAAGATTCTTCTTTGCATTGTTTTGAATCCAACTCAATAACGATGGTACTAATTAATTGAACAAAATCATACCAACATATTATATAAAATAATATTACGTTTAATAAAATAAATCATAAAGTAGTTAACTTTTTTTATCTTTAGAATTTTCGAATATTTTTGGAGTTGAATTACAGCAATATATAGAATTATATATACATACTAAATGAATCAGGTGCTTTCATTTCTTTTTATATTTCAGCTAATTTTACTTTGTAATTTAATGTTTCAATTGTATTCTAAAATCATGTATGTATGCTTACATGGCGTTCTTTCGTATTGAACAATTCGGTTAACATTCTATATGTATGTTTTTATAATAATTCTATGACAGTTGTGTTATATTTTCTTAACATTAAAGTCGCATGCAAAAGTTTTCAATACTTAATGCCAATGTATGTCATGTAAACAAGACGTCAGGTTTGTATGATGGTATTACTATTTCACACTTTTACGAGTCAGTGTATTTTTTATCAAAATATTATGTATTATGAAACAAACTAAACAGCGTTTGGGATCGTTGAATTATTGAAAACGATTCAAAAACACAAAAACATAAATAAATTACACAGCATCAAAAGATATGTACAAATAAATCTCTATAAAGCATAAAGGCTAAACAAAATGACTTTATTACATATACATTATCCTTATAACCTGCTTGAACTGAAAGTTGTAATCCCTTGTTTCAAATAAAAGGCCAGTATACATACTATTGCCATCAGGCCAAGCCATTCATTGCTGGTTATTTAGGTTTTGTGTTTAAATACTGAAATTCCTTAAATTTCGAGTCGACATTTCCCAATTCAAAGCTGGATAAATCATTTTATCCTACTTTGTTACGTCAAGCTGAAAGAAGTAATAGATTTTATGTATTCTATGCTCAAACTTCGAAACTTAATTATCATTTCAAAACCTTTTATAAATTATTCTACTAAAAACATTTTCTAGATTCTTACATGTGGGATTCTGGCAATCGTCTTTACAAAGCTTTTCACAAAAATAATGAAATAATTAAAAATATTTGATTGAGCCTGTTCATAGACGGCTGTCTTCAATGTAAAACTCTCTTGCCATTCCAATAAAGCGCCAAATGTCACTAAGTAAACGAATGCTTGTTCCATAACAAAAAAGATGGAATAAGTTTGAGTAGATCAGCGTGTGTACCAACAACACCTGGTAAAAATGGAGGGCCTTAGGTGTTGTTTGATAAAATTGAAATAAACAAGCAGAAATGATTATTTTAGCACGTTTTTTGTAAAAACGGACAGTTCGAGTTCCTCAGCAATATCATTACATGTGTACTTCCACTTTGTATTGTTTGTTTAAAAACACAGCACTCCATTAACAACTAAAATAATAATTATACTTGATGAATTTGATTTGGAACAAAAAAAGGAGCAAATCAACTAAGTAAACTCACAGACATATTATATATACAAATGTAGTGAATAGGATTACTAACATGTAATTGATTAATTGATTAATTAATAAATTAATCAATTAATTAATTAAATCACAGAGCATTTGATTATAGAAAAAAAATAGTTTTTTTATATTATGAAATTTCTTTCGGTACACTTCAGACAGATAAACTATTCAATGTAATATGATTATGTAAGATTGTAAAAGACCTGTTCGCATCAAAAGCAAAGAGATAATGGTTTAATAATCTTGTAATAATAACCGCACAGCATGGATTTCACGGAGTTAATTTCATGGCGCCTATTTAAATTTATCACAACGCCCAGTCATGCGTACTTATGTTTAATGGAAGAATTGATGTTTTATTGAAAGCTTGATAAAATGGATATAAATGAGCTTAGAATATTGAAAAAAAAACAATAACACAAATGTAAAACAAAACGTATTTAGTAAACAAACATGTCCATCTATAAGATTTGTGTGCAACCAGTTTGCAATAAAAATGTATTAGATCAGGTTAGGAAAGGAAGATTCCCTCAAAAATGAATGTGTCATTGCTATTTTTTGTCAGGAATGGTAAGGTTACTTGTCATTGCTTTTTGATGTACGTTGGTATAGAGAAGAACCATTGGTGCCACTTTAACTTACTATGTATGCTTTTTTCACTGTCTATAAACACGATAAATCAAACAGAGCATTTCTGAAAAATATTTTATTTTGTCGTTTCATTCGTTTATTAAGGTTTGACATAATAACTTATCAAAGGAACAAAAATGAACTAAATGATTATATTGAACGTTAACATTGGAAAAGTTGATATTTGTTTCATATAGGTATACATTCTGGTACGGCAACACATTTCTCTGGGGCTAATCTTGGCAAATGTAATATCATTAATTGATTGACAGGTTTTCATGCTGTTCTAACCTTTAAATAACTACAGTATCTCATAGAGCCCGTGTAGAATGTTTCGCTGTAATGCAATTATAACAAAGATCGATAATAATAGTACTTTCCTGATTTACAAATGCACTGTTCTTATTTCTGTCCCGTTGACTAAAACATTTTACCTTGTAAATAAAATAACGCGGAATGGTATCTAAGAAAAAATAAATAAGTATTTTCAACACTAACGTCTCCACAATTTCATTGCATATTACAGTTCAAAAGATACCTTGCCAGCTGTGCAACTGTTAAATAAATAAAAAATATGAAATAGAAGGAATTCCAAGCCCGCAATATTCGATTCTTTTCATTTCCGCCGTGATATTAATGGTTATGGAATAAATTTAAAGAGCTTGAATCGAGTGAAAATATATTATGGATAACTGGGACAATGCAATATGATAATTTAGAGTTCTTACATTATGTACGTTGAATCGGTTTTACATAAACAAGAATCCTATGAGATTATTG